CCGCCGTCTCTCTCCTATTTCTATCCCTAATACCAAGTCTATGATTTGCCATGCCCTAGTCTCTTGTGTGATTGATTGTTATAGCAAATACAACATTGCCTCATCGACATTCCCATCACAAAATATGATATGGTAAAAGGCCTGGCATTCCTTGACATTCACATCTGCCCTGTGACGCAAGGGCACACGTAGCACACGTGTCGGGACTCTAAACTGTATGAAAAGAACCAAGGCTCGAATCATTCTGGAAGTGCCGATGAGATCTGTTTAGGCGAGTTCGAAACCGCAGTCCACTCTAGCCAGGATACGAATATGTTTTGGGAATCAAGGCTATGTGAATTTGAATGAAAACGCAAAGTCTATTCATATGATTCTGGAAAAATTCATCTACCAGTCCTTCAACATCTTAAACAAACTATGGTGCATACTTTTATAAATATATACCGTATTTTCCGGCTTATAAGACGACTTTTCACACCATAAATTTCTGCTCCTAAGTGGAGGTCATCTTATACGCCGAGTGTAGTTTAGGCATCGCTAATTATACTATGGTTCCGAGCTCCTGTTGTACCCCTTACCTCCTTGCAAAATCTATATTTTAACTGGAAAAGTCAGGGGGTCGTCTTATACGCCAGAAAATACGATATATATGATCTACTGGTAGTCTCGAAAATCAACTTTCCAACAAAGCACTGAGAGGCAACCCTACCAGACCACTTTTACGGGGTAGATGAAGCTACATTTATGCTTGGTTTCTGGCCACCGCATATACAGCCACATATTATCGCCACATAATCTACCCTAAGTAGTATTATGACGTCTATTTTAACGCTACTGCCATGAGGGTTACTTCATATGCTGACTCCTGTTGTCTGGCTGTATTCTGAATTTACTATGACCTTTATATTGACACAGCCTATGAGGCATCTTCCTTTGGTGTCGGTAGCAATTGGATGTGCTTTCGCATTCCTACACGAATTTCAAAGCAAGCCAGCCTTAGCTTGCTACTGAAATTGTGCAGATGAGGATACCTAGACATGTTAATCTGAATATTTGCATGCTTTGATTTGAGTGCGTATGTGTGTGTGGGTGTGTCAGGATGGGAAACCACCAATCACAACTTTTCGAAATTAGGACAGGGTGTAACATCATTCCAGGGGCATCAGGATATAATGACCTAAGAAGCTGTCGAAACAGAAAGATAAGTCTCTGATGACTTTTGTCAGCTGGCATGAAAAACGAAACCGAGGGATGTGTAGACAAATGATTGCAGAGCAACTTAAACCAGTACGGATGCTAGCACACACACGCACACACGTAGACAGACACACACTCAAGCATTGATAAAAATCGAAAATACTATTAAAGAGAAGTAATCTAATATTCTTATAACTTATGAGCATACATAGCATGTATGATTGAGCCTTTATTTTGCGTTAATTTGAGGCCTTTGTCAGGAGTTCCACTTCCAAGGATGTCCATAAAGTTTCATTACGCATGAAAGCCCAGCCAGCTTTCATCCGAATTGAGGGAGGATGTCCAATGGACCGTGCCAACGTCAGCGTCTTATCAAATAACAAGAATCAGCCGCCATCATGCAACAAATTTGATCCTTAAATTACACACTTTTGCTCAGGAATGAGAGAAGATTACTCCTGATACAGCATCAACAAGAAGATTCCAGCTGGTCAAGAGGAATCTACCGGCGTTTCCACACAACTTCATTCAAAATGAAAAAGAGATCAAAAATCCTTGCAAAGTATACCGATTGAGTGGACCTTTAATGGCCACTGGGGTTCATTTAATTCCAGAAATGCAGTGACTGCAAGTCCTCGAAATACCCTTTCTTCTGTACTGGTCTGGGGTGATTGTGACTCCTCTCGGAGCTGATCAACAGCCGCACCCAACCTCGAAATAACCATTCCGCCCATTCACTACTTTCAGCGGTGAGAGTAGTGCAAAAAGACAAAAATCGCGATACTCCCCAAATCCGGATGTCATGGTAGCTGGGGAAAGCGGACGGCACTTTTTCGTGTGGCCAGCACGTTTCGACCCACGATCGTCTGATTCGTTCGGGTTCTACGTGATATTAGCTATACCTTATGCTGAAATAGTCAATTGGTCCAGACTTGTGGCTCATAATCGCGATGAATTGAGACGAAGACAGACTTTCAGACTATTTACGACAGTCAAGGGCGATCTGGACCGTCCGGTTGCTCAATCACTCGAGCTGTTGACAACATTTGTTGCGTCCTTTTCGCATTGGTCCACCTCCAGCTGGGACAGGCAAAATCTAAAGAATCGGACAGAACCCACCGAACTAAGGCGCATAGGCCAATCTGCCGAAACCATTGAGACAGGTTTGCTGAAACCCTTCGCAGACCTTTGCCTGGATCACCCTCAACTGTCGTTCTTCTACATAACTCATGCGGTGCTGACAGATATTGTCTTGACGACTCACATCTCTTCAAAGCCAATTGTCCTCTTCTCAACTTCGCGTCCGCCCTTCTCGCGCTTTGGGGCTTCCGGACAGGACTAGTTCACGTTTTATATACGAAGAAAAGTTGTAATGTTGCTTTTATCTCGTTTTCCCAGCTTGGTCTGCGTTCTCTGTTATAGCATTAATGAAGAAAAGTTGGGTTTCGAAGAATCTCTTGTTTCATAATTGTTGGGATTACTTTCATTTCGAGTAGAAGTGTTGGGTGAAGAGATTCGAATAGGCCAGAGTCAGAGTATATATACCACTTTTTAGGGATTTGCCGGTGAGTTTTTTTGACTCGCAAGCCTGTGTTTTGTTGTGATGATGTTACCTCGCTCTGAC